TGGGGAAGGGAGGAAGGGATGACTGGGAAAGGGAGGAAGGGAGGAAGGGAGGAGGAAGGGATGACTGGGAAAGGGATGACTGGGGAAAGGAGGAAGGGATGACTGGGGAAGGGATGACTGGGGATGACTGGGGAAGGGAGGAAGGGATGACTGGGGAAGGGATGACTGGGGAAGGGATGACTGGGGAAGGGAGGAAGGGAGGACTGAGGAAGGGAGGACTGGAGAAGGGAGGAAGGGAGGAAGGGAGGACTGGAGAAGGGAGGAAGGGAGGAAGGGAGGACTGGAGAAGGGAGGAAGGGAGGACTGGGGAAGGGAGGACTGGAGAAGGGAGGAAGGGAGGACTGAGGAAGGGAGGACTGGGGAAGGGAGGAAGAGAGGACTGGGGAAGGGAGGAAGGGAGGACTGGGGAAGGGAGGAAGAGAGGACTGGGGAAGGGAGGAAGGGAGGACTGGGGAAGGGAGGACTGGGGAAGGGAGGAAGGGAGGACTGGGGAAGGGAGGAAGGGAGAAGGGAGGAAGGGAGGACTGGGGCCCGCTCCCCTTACTGCATACACCAAGACTAGTAACTTAAATACTGATCAATAAATAAGACTCTTTAAGGTAGGAAATACTGACAAGGGGGGGGGGGGGACTGTTCTTTCAATTTTATATTATGTCATGAATAAATCAGAAATAAAAATGAAATAAACATATGTTGCTCTCGCCAAATTTATTTGTACCCAGAAATTCTGTTGAAATATATTTCATGAAGAAGTATAGGCCTAGTATAACCAACAAGTAACTACTATAGTTCAACTCAGAGAATGGGTGGAGGAATAACCATCACAGTCCAGACACTTTTCTCGATTTTCATGCAGCAAAATGGCTGATGATGTCACTGAAGTCCATTTCATGCAGTACATCGGACTTGATGCAGCTATAAATATATTGGTAGGACCCCCCCCCCTCTTGGTGGGTGGCCCTGGCCCTCCTCTTAATCTCCCCAACCCCGGCCCCGCCACCTCACATAATGCGTCAATGTATCATGATGCTGTGGACTCAGGCGCTCGTCAGTTTTTGTGCATGTGGAGTTATAGGTATCATCTTGAAGTTTGTTCATTTGTCCGTGCTTTCTATGAAAAAACTACCAATCTACCGGTATTTTGAACAGAAGTCGAGATATTTGCGATTGAAAGAGGCGGGAA